CTATTTTCCTAGGAGTATGAAAAAAACGAAATAATGAAAATATATAATGTAGGTATTAAGCAGTACTAAAATTCGGTTGTTCATATACCTCGTGAAGTCCCAATTTCCTTATTAAAGGCAATTTTCTAACTCTATTTGACTACTTAAACTACATTTCAAAGGAACAATGTAAGGACAAGGGCCGGTTATAGTTATATTTCTATACTGATGTTGTGTCTCATATATAGCGCATTTTCAATTATAGCTCGTATGTTATCGGGCAATTGAGGTTTGTACGGCTATAGGATTATACGCCTTTTGAGAAAGGTTACGGCCATATTGGCATGCACGCCGTCACTTCTAGCGGACTGCAACTGTGACACGCAATGTTATATGCATTCATTGAGTTTGTTAATTTCAATTGTTCTTAACTCTTGAAAGAATCAGTTTACCGGGACATATATAAGTGATTTTCGCTATGAACTAATTCAACAATTTATTTGGGCTAAAGAATAATTAAATATACTGCATGTATATCTCATGGTTTTCTAAGACAAGTCTTGAATTCTTTGCAATAGGCTACAATATATATACAATGCTTATACAAAATGCAATCTGCGTAATGAAATTAAATTGAATCCGGCACATTAAACACATAATAAGAAGTAAGATAATATACAGAAACATAAAAAGCCCTTACATTATAGTTCGTATATATAAACATAAAAAAAACCCTTCTTATATTATAGTTCGTATATGAGAGACGAGGCTACTTTTGCGTGCCAAATATTAATTAGAATAAAATTGCATAATGCGGTATGTCCGGTAAAATAATAAAAAAAACACAGACAGTCACAGGAGAATATAGCATGCTAAGGCCCAAAAAATAAGGCGCTGATACATAACACCACTGATACAATTTAGACTAGGAGTTACTATCGCAAGGAAAGTGCTGCCTCACCCCCAAGGGATGAGAGGCAGCAGCCGGATTTTCTGAATCAGGGATTAATCAATGTCCCCACATGTTTCTCAACACCGGGAAAATAGTTTTGTATGTTTCATAGATCAGCAAAAGATGAAAAGAAAATCAATGTTATTGTTATTTAAACTTTTCTTGTAAAGAAAACTAAAACAGCAACACAGGATATATATGTTAACAACTGATTCCATTCCCCTGCTTTCGCCCCGCATCGTCTACCGCAAGAGAGAATGTCATCCAAGTCCCCATCATTGGGGACATATTCACAATCAAAACTGACCACTTTCCCCGCTAAATCCCACGCCCCCCCCCCCCGGTTGGGGGGAGGGGATTTACATTCACTGGTGCATTATTCAAATGATGCAGGTTTATTAGGATAGCATGACCAGTTATCATGGCTAGCTAGCTACTGAATACTGTATATTGTCATATATAGAAATACTAAGTCAGTTTTTGTTCCAATTATTATTTACATGGCACCTCCAAGGCTACCCCTATTGCAAATTAACAACCGAACAATCTGATGGGGAGACAAAATGTATTTGTTGACATTTTTGTTTAATTAATATATGTCAGCTTCAGATGACACCACTCATTCATTGTACTCAGTTCAGAACCTGACTCGTCCCCAGTCGTCTCTGTGAGCATGTGCGAATTGGAAAGCGCGCGCAGGGGTAGAAGGGAAGGGAGAAGCACAGAGACGACTGGGGACGAGTCAGGTTCAGAACCGCAAAACTATATAATCAGAAAGAATTTGTGAGCATTATCGAAGAATATAGCACACCCAGAAATGTAGTGACACAGCCACTGAATGTATGAGTATAGGTCGGTAGGATTATTTCATATTATGTTAACAGAAGGACATGTCTCAGAGATATAAACAGGCCATCAGGCATCATACCTTGTACAAAAGTCGGTTAATATGCTATTTACATGTAACTGCTGGTAACCCGATAAGTTAATATATACAGACAACAATCCCTACACTGGGTTGCTATAACAGTCCGTATTTGTTTTGAAAACGTACGTGCTGAAAGCATGCGCAATGGCTATAAACATCTAACATTATGAACACTATAAACTCATTGCCTTGCATGCACATCGCCATGCACACAAACGAATATTAAACTCAAAGTACATTTTGACTCCTTGTATATAAAATAAGACATTATTGACATCATGAAATCATATGTTTCAATACCTCTGTATCGAATGCTAAACTGTGCAGATCTGAATACCTATATTAAATGCCTCATGGCTCATGTATATCATCAGAAAGAAGTAAAACCATTCTTACCTGATTATTCTTTGATATTGTCGAATGTCAATCGTTTGCAAATTATCCATTAATCCAACTGTTTCCAACATATAAACTTGTATGATCTCGTAAAACTGCTTGCACAAATCAGCACAATACAAAATAAAGTATGGTTTGTCCGCCCCCCTCTTTAAAAAACTTCCTGAAGCTTAATTATTCCTCCCGGAAATCATCTTTACAGACAGACACAAATCGAGATCTCGACAATACATGGATCGCGCGAAAGACTGGGTCGAGTGGACTCTGGAGAAACCACCGTGTGTCAAGAATAGTGTGCTGCCTCGCGCAAGAGGGAAACAAACAAATAAGAGATATGCCATATTGCCACACAAATTAGGACTAGCTAAATTATGCAAGTTCAGTTTATGCATGTATCAGAACGACAAAAACATTGAAATAATTATCAAGAAACAATTAATGTCAGTGTCCGCGTTCACAAAACTTAAATGAGCTCTAGCTATATTATGTCAAAAATTGAAGGCAACTTTAATGAGTTTATCGCAATAAACACATCAAATTTGAAAGAACACAAACATGTAGTTGATGATAGTTCTTATACTGCTGTCAACAGTATATGCATGGCGTCCGGATTCCCTGACCCTGGCACATAAAATCACGCAAGCTAAATGACAATTAGAAACAAACATGCATGACAGTGTCAGTGCATGATATACAGTACTTACAATATTAAATTGAAATGTAAGTTAGTAACTGTAGAGTATAGTCTTAATAACTTCAGCGTTTCGAGCTTTGAAGAAAGGGGTAAATGTAGAATTTGCATAAACTGACACATATATATATGTACTTCTTTCCGTTGTGTAATTGAATGAATCGTGTTGAGTTAAGAACGAGGGAAACGTATTAATTCTCACTCTCACAATGGCCAGGTTAAGTTATTTCAAAGAACCAGTACATTTATACACTTTTATACAAAGTACGTAAACGTGTTTCATACACATTGTTAATAGATCCACTTCTATACGTTATTATTTCAAAGAACGAGGGAAACACATTGGTTAACTATCTCCTTTCACACGAAGCACATTCCGAAGGCAATCATGCTGCACAAAGGCAAAGGCAAAGCACGGCAAATTATTTCAAAGAACGACGGAAAGATGATGTAAAAGATCTAGGCGTTTTTCATGTACATTGTTAGACACATTTATATTAGCTGTATACGTTGTTATTCTAAAGAACGAGGGAAACACTGAAATAGATTAACTATCGTCTCGCACACGAAGCACATTCCGAATACCATCATGTTGCACAGAGCACGCAAATTATTTTAAAGAACGTCGGAAAGATGATGTAAGAGATCTAGGCGTTTTCCATGTACATTGTTAGACACATTTATATTAGCTGTATACGTTGTTATTCTAAAGAACGAGGGAAACACTGAAATAGATTAACTATCGTCTCTCACACGAAACACATTCCCAATACAATCATGTTGCACAAAGCACGCAAATTATTTTAAAGAACGTCGGAAAGATGATGTAAGAGATCTAGGCATTTTCCATGTACATTGTTAGACACATTTCTATTAGCTGTATTCGTTGTTATTCTAAAGAACGAGGGAAACACATAGATTAACTATCGTCTCTCACACGAACACATTCCGAATACAATCATGTTGCACAAAACACGCAAATTATTTTAAAGAACGTCGGAAAGATGTGTAAGAGATCTAGGCGTTTTCCATGTACATTGTTAGACACATTTCTATTAGCTGTATACGTCGTTATTCTAAAGAACGAGGGAAACACATAGATTAACAAATCTAACCATTCGAACGAATAGGAGAGACTTCACGAATCAAACGGTTCGTACGATTCGTACGAATTGTACGAATATTATTGTGGACCTCTATAGATGTGACGACGTCACCAGTAAGTGAAATCTAACCATTCGAACGGATATGGGAGAGTTCACGAATCGAACGATTCGTAGGAATGGTGCGAATAGACTAGACCTCTGTACAGGTAATGACGTCATCAGTAAGTTAAATAATTATCAAACTACCACGAATAACTTATACAGAGGGTAAATTAACTTTTTTGCCATTCGAACGATTCGAACGAAACCTAGCGGTGTTCACGGATCGTTAAGAGTCGAGAGTATTGGACAAGAATGACTTAGTGATAGTATATAGTATATTTTAATAATCCAAAAGTGACAGGTTATATTATTGAAACAATTTGCATAAGAAGTATGCTTTTCCAATTATTATATACTTTATTTCAGTGCTAATTTTTCTTAAAGAGTTTTTTTGGTCACGTTTTTTATATATATTTTATTATATACATACCGTAATATTCACACTCGGCAAGTGCCAAGATAAAACTCATCTACGACGCATTGCGTAATTGAGACGATGTTCCTCACATGTGAAAAAAATCGTCCGACCAATCAGAGATCGCGGACGATTTTTCTCACATGTGAAAAAAAAGTATCGAATTTTCCCGCCAATTACCGGCCATGGCTTCCCGTTTTGCAGACCTTGACATTTCTGTCGACGAATTCATCAAACAACAAGAAAATGAAAACACAAAGAGAAAAACTGAACAAAATCTATCATTATTAAATGAGTTTCTTAGTAGCAAGAATGAAACTAGAAGCATTGAGGACATTCCTTCTGCGGAATTAAACCTTTACCTGAGCGAGTTTATTATTAAGGTTCGTACAAAACAAAATAAGGATTACGAGCCACATTCCCTGCGCGGTATGGTAGCCAGCTTCGAAAGACATTTAAAAAAGAAAAACTATGGTTTAAGTATCATGAAAGATCTACAGTTTGAACAGACTCGAAAAGCTTTGGTTTCAAAACAAAAGGATTTAAAACGACAGGGAAAAGGAAATAAACCGAATGCTTCATCTGCTCTCAGCGAAGACGACACAGCTGTTTTGTATGAAAAAGACTTGCTGGGCACATCCAGTCCCGATGCTTTACTGAACACTCTTTGGTTCAACAATACAATACACTTTGGATTACGTGGCTGTAAAGAGCATCGCGATATGACTTGGGGCGACGTGAAATTACATAAAACGGTCTCTGGCGAGGAATATTTGAAATACAACGAAAGGCAAACGAAAACACGCTCGGGGGAAAACACCAGAGATGTGCGAAAAGTAACTCCAAAAATGTTTTCCGTACCAGGAAATAAAAGAGATCCTATTGCTGCGTACAAACTTTTTGCGGAAAAACATCCGGCAGAAATCAACAGCGACGATAGCCCATTTTATCTTGCTGTAAACAATTTAAAGAAACCTGAATCCGTTTCATGTAAAGCTTGGTTCAAAAAAGCCCCCGCCGGGGTTAATAAACTAAATTCGATAATGAAGAACATGGCTGCGAAAGCTGGACTTACTACCAAATTTACCAACCACAGCGGAAGGAAAACAATGATTCAGGCCTTGGTAAACCAAAACTTTCCACCAACAGAC